ATAATCTAGACCTAATGTTAAATTTTAACTATTTATCCATTAAATTTAAAATTCAAATGACCATATTTTTGTAACGGTAATAGATAGAAGAGTTTTTTTTTGATTTACAGGAAATTTTATGTACTTTAATTCACTTCTACATGACTTTATTGAAATAACGTTAAATAAAGGAGTAAAGTTTAAAAAATTAGAAAAATTTCAGTTTTTTCGACTATTTTTAAACATTTTCTTAATTCTATGTATCAAAATGGTTTAATTATTATATATAATCTATTTTTATGTTAAATTGTAGCTTTTGAAGCAATAAGTATTTTACCAAACGGTATTTTAATGAAAATATCTTCAATAACCTAGAAAAAAAATTTTAAAATCAATATAATTTGAGTTTCCCTCCAACGATTATTTTAATTTTCGTCTTAAAATGATCGTGAGGCATCACCGAACTGATATAAAAAAAAACCTGAGAAGGGTCATGCAGTTTAGGTTGAACCAAAACGAAGCTCACCGTGTGAAGAATCAAACTTAGGAGATAAAACAATAAAGTAACTGATTAAAAAAATTTATAACCAGGTATTTTTACTCCAGCAATGCCGAAACAAAGCCAGAAATGCTCCCTCACCCTCTAAAATTTTTTTAAATCGAAAAAACCACCCTTAATCGGACAAATTCAAATTTAGCAGATTAAAACTTAAATAACTGACTTTTTTAAAATAGACGCTTACTACATCTATGTATTTCCGCTCCACTAACTCAAAAACAAAGCCAGCATTGATCCATCAACCTCTGAATTTTTTTAAATAGAAAAAACTACCCTTAATCTGAAGAATCAAACTTAGGAGGTAATACAATATAATTATATTGTATTACCTCCTAAGTATAATTCTTTGGTGGTTTTTTCGATTTAAAAAAATTTTAGAGGGGAAGGGAGCATTTCTAGCTTTGTTTCGGCATTGCTGGAGTAAAAATACCTAGTTATAAACTTTTTTAATCAGTTATTTTATTGTTTTACTTCCTAAGTTTGATTCTTCAGATTAAGGGTAGTTTTTTTTATTAAAAAAATTCAGAGTGTGATGGATCAATGCTGGCTTTTTTTTGAGTTAGTAGAGCAAAACTACATACATGTAAGGTTCTGTTTTTAAAGAAACCGGTAATTTAATATTTTTTACTTATTAAATTTGAATTTTTCTATTTAAGAGTGTTTCTTTCGATTTAAAAAAAATTTAGTGGGTGAGGGAATATTTCTGGCTTTGTTTCTGCCTTGCTGGAGTAAAAATACCTGGTTATAAAATTTGTCAATCAGTTATTTTGTTGTTTTATTTCCTGAATTTGATTCTTCAGATTAGGGGTAGTTTTTTCGATTTAAAAAAATTCAGAGGGTGATGGGTCAATGCTGGCTTTATTTTTTTTAATTAGTAGAGCAAAACTGCATACATGTAAGGTTCTGTTTTTAAAAAAAGCCGGTAATATAATATGTTTTTACTTCTTAAATTTGAATTTTTTTATTTAAGGGTGGTTTATCGATTTAAAAAAAATTTAGAGGGTGAGGGAGCATTTCTGGCTTTGTTTCTGCATTGCTGGAGTAAAAATATCTGGTTATAAAATTTGTGAATCAGTTATTTTATTGTTTTATCTCCTGAATTTGGTTCTTCAGATTAGGGGTAGTTTTTTCGATTTAAAAAAATTCAGAGGGGATGGATCAATGCTAGCTTTGTTTTTGAGTTAGTGGAGCAATGTTTCGTAGATGTAAAATTAGGTTTTTTTAAAAAATAAGTTGATTTATTTTTTATCTCCGAAGTGTGAATTTGTCCGTTTAAGGGTGGTTTTGGTCGATTTAAAAAATAGCTGAGGGTGATGGAGCAATTCTGAGCTCAGATTCAGTTTCAGCGGTCCAAAATACTATAAGAAATATATGTCTAGTTCAAGAAACAGACAACTTTTTTTTTGTGTGCCTGTGTAATGGTCCCCAATTAAGAACACTTTTAGCTAGATGCAGTAAAGAATGAACATTAAAAGTCATTGCAGCATCTGTATAAAAATGTTCTGTTAAAGCAACGAATTGATGTAATAATTCATCGGCATAATTTAGTTCATCAATCGAAATCTCTGTCTTTAATAAAATATATGCAGCTTCTACAAACAAACACCAATGTTCCCATAATTCTTTTTTTAAGACTGTCTTTAAAATTGGCATACTATAAAATAATAACCAATTTTCCCACTCACGGGCTTTCCAAAATTCTTTTTCCGAAAGTGGCCGTGTTAATCTAACTAAATGATTAGGAACTTTTATCGATGTTAATAGTTTGTCTACTTTATCTTTAGCGCCCTTACATAACACTCCCGAAATTTTCGTAGTTCCAAACAAAATTTTTGCAAATTGTTTTGCAATCCCGGAAAAAAGATGCAAACGTTCAGGAACACAACCATCAATTATATCAAACTTTAATAGATTTATTAAGGGAGAAGGATTTTTAACCCCAAATTCGACCTTCTGCTTGGAAATACTCTGTTTCATTAGTTTTATTGTTTCTTTTTTATTTCTTTCTAACGGTGGAGGATCAATTACTAGAAACTTTAAACATCCACCAGTATTTGTTTTATTTGGTACCCACTGTCCTGGGTGAAGACATAAATTACAACCAAATTTTCCATTATATTGAGAGAACCCTTGAATTTGTGGTCGAGCCACAGAATCGACGCAACAAACTAATGGAAATATTTTGATATTTTTTTCAACACCGTCAACAGTTAATTTGATTCCATTTATTGAAAGTTTATTCATATTTTCAACAAATGGATGTAGAAAAATTGACATATTAGGTTTGTTTTTGCCAAACCAAAGTCCAACTAAAATTACTTCTTTACATCTAATTTTCATTGGTAATTCATTCACCATCAAAAATATCGGCCATATAGAATAAGATGAAGAACAGAATAGAGGAGCTCCGTCAGTATTAAACGTTACAGTCGCATACTTATTTCTGTCTTTCTTACTTAACTGAGATACAAATTTCCGATAACACTTTCCGTCATATATATCTTTAATGCAATTTTTATCGTGGATTCTATCATTTACAACATTAGTATAATAATCCCAATTAGATTTCAATATTTCGGCAATTTGGGAGGAAGGATCTAAGGTAACAAAAAAATCCTTATTTTCAACGTCCTTCACATTAATTTCATTTTGGCATAAGGGGCATTTTATAACTTGATCACTACATGCAAATTTACCCAAGTAATTATTGCAATGGTTGCAAATTCTATGAAAATCTACTGTATCCTTACGATAAAACAATTTATCAACTTAATTTCTGGTGTTTGGAAGAACCGGATTTACAAAAATACAATTAACGAGGAGTATCAAATTGCAAATTTGAGTCAATGAAAGGGCGTGGACTAATGCATAGCGGATTATCATCATAAGTACTTCTCCTATAGATTTATTTACTGGAGTATTTATAGGTTTGCTAAATTCTTCAGATTTCATGAAATCATCAAGTCCAGTGAACTTTGTTTTTGAAAAAGTAGAGTCTTCTGAGGCGTCCTCAAAATGATCAAATTCATTAATTAATTTATCCATTTCATCGTCATGAGTATTATATTCTTCCAGTGTTCGCTACAAATTAAAAATAGGATAATAAATTAAAACTTAATGTTATCTTTTAACGAAAACTTAAAAAGTTGTTTTCAAAAAAAAATTTTATTAGGTAAAAAATGCTTTTTTCTATAGTAGTATATTTAAATTTTTGCTATTTAATCAAATGAATAAATAATAAAGCAAATAAACAATCAAAATTAAAATTTTTGGTTAACCCTGACAGTAAACATATTATTTCATAATTAAAAATGCTTCTAAAAAATTCAAAGCAATAAAACATCTCTAAGACATTCTATGGATATATTGTCCAGACGTGTGGATATCCAAAAAATAATGTCCTAAAATAGACATTTGTTACTTTAAATAATGTCCTACAGATATTCTTATGTATATTCTTTGGATTTCTTTTAGATATCTTTCAGATGCTCCCTTGAAGTTTAGTGGATATCCTCTCAAAGTAATATTCATATCCTGAATATACGTTTATTGAAAAGAGTAGATGCTATTAAGATACGAAAGACATCTAGAAAGTATCTAACGGTTATTTCAATAGAACTTATAAAATATCTTAGCAACATCCACAGAGTATTTTTTTAGACATCACCTAGATAAGTACCGAATATCAAAATGAAAACCATAGAACATCTGTAGAATATTTAGTTGACATTAGAAGAATCTGAATCGCATTCCTAACATCATCCGGATATTCAGGATATCCTACAGACGTCCTGGGGATAACAATCGGATTTTGGTAAATGGAATACCCAAGGAATGTTCCAGAGATTTTTAAAAGGCATTGGGTATTCCTAAGACATCCGTAGGTTATCCTAAGATTAGTTTCTTTTCTAAAAGTTTTGCCTACATGAATATCTGCAGGTAGTGCGACGGACATCCCTAGGATATCCGTTGCATAACTAAATAATATTTTATAACTAATACTTGATTGCCAAAAAGATATTGAACGTTTATTCACAGGATATTCAAAAAAGTATTATTTACACAAAACGAAAACACAGCAAAAGATATCCTAAAGATATTCTGCGGCTTCCAGAGGTCATCATGTGAATATGATTTACGAATATTTTAGGGATATCCTGAATATCCAGATTTTGTTAAAAAATTACTTTGTAGTAGAAAGTCTTGAATGTAAATTATTAAAAAGGAAATTTTTTGGACTATTAATAAATATTATTAATAATTATTATTTATAAAATTTATTTAAATTTGCTTGATAGATTTTGAGCAATCGTCAAAAATATTTTACATTTCAACTTTTATTGTATAAATTTCATTTTTATATAGTCTCCTAAACGATTAAATTGGTTCGAAACTAATTTAAATATTAATATATATAATTTTATTTAAAGCGTTAAAAAATAAATACCTCTGAATATTCTGGAGCATATTGATCAGTACTTTCCAATTCATCAGTTAATTCTGTCATAATTGTTTTTATTTTTTCTGCAGTTATTTGAGAATCCTCATTTTCAAAAAAATGATCATTAGCAAGAAAAAATTCCTAGAAATGTTAAAAGATCTGTTATTAAGTTATTAACCCATTTAGTCCCAAATGTGCGTTTTTTTGGTTCAAATTCGAGCTTACCGTTTTACGAGTTGGGCTTTCTAAAAATTCGGCATCCGGTTTTTTATGCTGTTGTATGTTCTTTTTCAGAATCTGTAAGAAAATTTTTATTTCGACTTGATGATAAAAAGTTATAATTGTTTAAACAAAAAAGGACGGGTTATTGAATGGTTGTATTATTTAAAATTAGATTTTCGAGTCGAAATCAATTTGGAAAAAATTCAGTACACCAAAATATCGCGTCCAAAATGTTGGGACTATCAGATAGGCATGATGACGAATACAATTTTTTCAAAATTCAAAATGTCGCTTCAAAAATGGCAGCCAAATTTTTCAAATTTATAAAATTAACATAAAAAAATATAAACTTTTTTTTTCAACTTAAATGCTTCAGTTCAATAAAATAATGTTATAAGATGAAAAAGTATTGAAATTCGATGTTATTTAATAATATTATAAACAATTTCTTTAAACAAATTACAAACTATCGACTAAAGTGAGAGAAAAAAGAATTTTTTAACCATTGATTTCTTTGTAATCGGAATGGATATTGAAAGTACAAAATTCAATTCAAAATGATTTAACAATGTTTAGAAATGTTATAAACAATTTTTATAAACAATTTGAAAACAATGAAGCACAATCTTAGAATAAACTTATTTTTTTCATTATCCAATGCTTTCTTCCAATCAAAATGTATGTTGAAGGTACAAACTCTCGTTTTCCAAAAAATCGTCTTTTTCACCATTTGCAATTTTTGTCATGAAAATGGATATTTCAGTTACAAATGTTTATTTTAAATTATTAAACAATTTTTAACAATGTTAGAAACAATTTTTATAAATAATTTTGGTAAAGATAGCTCTTCAGGGTTTAAAAAGCTTTAAAAATTTCTTTCTTCACCACTTGCTTTTTTCTCGTTAAAATGGATACTTAAAGTTCAGACGATTATCCAAAATTATTAAACAATTTTTAGCAATAATATAAACAATTTTCATAAACAAGCACAATCGTAGAAAAAAATTATTATTTTTTTATCAAGTGATTTCTTTTAATTTAAATTTATGTTGAAGGTACAAACTTTCAGTTTACATTATTTAGCAATATCTAAAAATGTTAAAAATAATTTTTATAAACAATTTTGAAAAAAAAGTTCATGTTGGAAAAAATCGTCCTTTTTAACCATTTGCTTTTTTTTGTTATTAAAATGGATATTTTAGATACAAACGTTTATCCACTCAAAAACCCGCCCTTTTTTGTTTCAACAATTATAACTTTTTATCATCAAGTTGAAATTAAAATTTTCAAACAGATTATGAAAGAGGACATACAAAAGCATAAAAAAACCGGATGGCGAATTTTTTAGAAAGCCCAACTCGTAAAACGGTAAGCTCGAATTTGAACCAAAAAAACGCACATTTGGGACTAAATAGGTTAAATGTAAAATTGTTAAGATGTTTTCAAATTTGTTGAATTCATTAGTGTCAGGTTAAAAAATGAATAGTAAAGTATTTTAACCTCTTTATTATCCTGAAGAGTTGAATTTTCTGCATTATTTACGCCATTGTCCTCGGCAATGCTAAATTCCTGTATACAAAAAGGCAATTAATTGCTAGAAATTCAAATTGTTATCAATCTGACACACCGTTTTCATGTTAACTTGGATCTGAATATCTTGAGGATCATCGTTATCTTGGATAGGTTTCCTTTTATGGCATCTAGCAACAGTTTCCTAAGAATTTGTAAAAAAATATATTTTTATCCTTTTCTCTGTTATTACATAATTTAAAAATTGTAAATGTTACAATGCAATTAATATTAAAAGATTTTTATTTAATTTGATTATTAATTTAAATACTTCTTTCCTGAATCATGAAGAACTTTAAGTGACATTTGATTTTTTATATTTAGTTTATAAAATATCCAAAAAATTATTAAATAGAAATTAATTAATTAATTAGTTATAATTGTTTAAATAAACATATCACTATATACATAAATATTAAATCAATAACAGTAATATTAAATTAATAAAAATTCGATAATTAACATTTTAACTTAATAATTTATTTATGTAAGTTGAATAAAGAAAATATACAATAAATGGTTTCTTGCAAAGGAATAATTAAAAAACAAAATAGAATTAACAATAAGAAGCAGAATGAGAAAAAGTACAAAAGAAAATTTAAAAAATACATACTTCCTGTTTGCGACGTTTTAAACTGCGATATTTTGTACTCGCTGGTATGGGATCCATAGAATTTGGTTGTAGATATTTAAAATATTTTCGATTCATATTTTGAATTGTACTAGTGACACTGGTGATTCTTTGTAATATACTATTTAAATAAATATTTTACAGCAAAGGTTGTGATTTCATGACAATTTTCTTTCATATAAATTGTTGCTTTTTAATGACATTTCAAAATTTGAAAATTAAAAATGGCGTAGCATTACATATGTATAAAAATATCTATGCTACTTTAAAATTGTTTTCTTTTTCTTTTGTTAGCCGTTAAGTGAACATTCAAAAATTGTAATAAAATATTAAAAACATTTATAAATAGTATTCTTATTTCAAAATATTTTACAATTCAAGAAATACTCTCGTAGTTTAGATTATTTTCTCAAAATAACTGTTGCTATGGAAACTTGATTTTACAGCTTTTTGTTCTAGATTATTTTTAATTTTGTTTGTTATCCTACAATTATCAGGTTAATTGATTTGACGTTTATTGTCTCATAAAAAAGTTTAAAAATGGAAAGTGAACATGAAAATGCTGAAACTAGCGAACCGACTGTTAAATATGCTTTAGTTCGTTACTTAAACGATGACGTTATGAATGAAAGAAGTGCCAATTTCACATATTAAAAAATTTAACCCAAAAAACGTAAATGATTTCACGGCATCGAAAGTTTATTCTGTGTGGTATTGCTCTGAAGATGATGAAAACGATGATGGTGACTATTACCGTGCAAATGTATTACTCTTGGGTAGTGAGTATTAAATTAAATTATTTTACATTATAGTTGTAAATATTAATTTAAAATTTAGTATTTCATTCTTGAAAAATAATGTAGAAATTAAAAATAATAAAAATAAAAAAACTGATATAAAAAATGTTTTATACGTAATATAGATATATTTCTAAAAATTAAAAAATGGAAATATTTTTCGTGATTTATATTATTCACAGCGAGCGAAGATGATGTTAAGATAAAACAGAAGAATAAGCGGATTAGGAAGCCTACTACAAGAAATATAAGTTTTTCCAAACTTCAACCTTCAGGTGAGAGTGAAACGGAATATGAAGAAAATCCTAAGGTAACGTGTTTCTTTTAAATGCTTAAAAATATTCCCCTTTGTCTCTTTATAACTGTATTTGTTTCCTTAAAATTCCGTACACCTTTTCCTCATATAGAATCCCACTTGAAAGTAATCCTGGTAGTTTTTAAGGAGCACATTCCCAATAAGTTTTCTAGAAAATTCTTGGAAGTTTCCGAAAATTCAATATGGAATTTCTCGGAAATCCATTTCAGAAACATTTCTGATAGTTTCCTGAGAATATTTTTACGTGGAAAAGAAATTTTTAATTTTATCTTTTGTGTATTACAGCCAGCCAAAAACCAAAAGACTAAAAAGAAAACAAACAACAGTTTGATTAATAAACAGATATTGGAATCACACGCATCATTATTTTCTCGAAAAACCCTGCATAATACCAGTACTGAAAGTGAATTATCTAGTGATGAATTCGACTTGGAAATGTATTCAAAATTGAAGAAAAAGTTACAGAAATTTGAAAGCTTAAGACAATTAAAAGCACAAAGTAAATTATACTACATACTATGATGTTAACATTGAAATATTTCTACGCGGAAATATTCCCGGAAAACTCCCAGGTATATTTTAGGGTTTATTCTCAAGAAGTTTCATAGAGAATTCTATATCCTGAGGATCAACTTCCAACAGTTTTCCGGGAATATTTTCACTTGGAAATTACTCTTAAGATATTATTCATAAAATCATGATTTGTACTTACTTGATTACTACTATGCATTTTTCAAAATTAGAGACGAATGTGCACCCCGGTAATGAAAATTTGAATCCTGGAAGTACTTCTGCAAATAACGCGGCTAAAATTCAATGCGACCAGGGTATGAACATGATATATTTTAAAAATCAAAGGTCACAATACAACAGACCTAAATATAATTATTTTCTATTCTTTTAAATTTTAAACAGCATAAAATTATTTTGTTTTACGTTTAGAATTAAAAATAAAATGATGTGGAATCTTTAATATTGCCAACAATAACGTGACTGCATATATTAAATCCCATTTGGGATCCGGAAAATTTTCAGAAGTGACTGTAAAAATTCGGGAAGTCATTTTGGTATTTTTTTTCGTATACCGTACCTTAAAACCTTTAAATGAACGATTTTCAAGTATAGGAAAATGTAATTAAATTATTATTAGTAATATTTTCTTAAGTGGAATGATTTCCGTAAAATTTCCGGAAGTCTTCTGGAAATATTACATATATTTTGGATTTCCGATAAACCGGGAAGAATCCGAAAACCTTTTTTATAAATTTTCCGAAATTTATTTTCAGTATTTTTCCTAGAAATCCTACACAGGATTACGTAATTAATTTTCATTTCAGCTTCAGGAAAAATATACTTTCCGATAAAAGTGTGTTTTAGAAATTTTCCATAAGTCATTCACAGAATTTTCCCAGGAAATCCCCCTACATGGAATTACGTAATTTATTTTTATTTCAGCTTCAGGAAGAAACACAATTTCACATAAAAATGTGATTGATAGACATCAAATTGATCGAAATCCAACAGTTCTATTAGAAGGCAATGAGGGTAAGAAAATTGCAATTTGGAAAAAATAAAAAACTAATGTGTAATTTTTACCATTTTTTAAAATTAATATTAAGATTTGTTTTCAGATATTTTAGCATCAAGTACACCACAAAATGGTGAACCATCAGATTCTGCCTCTCATTCTTCTTCAACAAATCCACCCTACAATGTTGAATCATCAGGAGAACAATCAGATTCCGCGTCGGATTCTGCTGCATCACATCCAACACAGAATGATGGGCCATCAGAATCAGATTCTGACTCGAATTCTCCTAGCTCACATGATGAACATTTAAACGTAAATCGACCGCTATCGTCATATTTTGTTGAAAAAGCAATAACAACAAAACGAAAAATTGGAGAAGAAGATGTAAACTCCGAAATAGTAATTAACTATGCATTTTTCCTTCGTTACTATCATATCAGTTTAAGAAATCAGCGCAAAAGAGAGTTATTTACTATTATATATTATTAAGTTATTTATTATATAAGAAAATCAACATTTGATACATAAATAAAAATTCACTTAAAGACTGACTCGTGACTGATTCTAAAAAGGCTGACAAAGCAAGACTAAAATTTTATAAATAAATGCAGTATTTTAAATATAAAAATATTTACTTCCGTAACGTAATGTAATATTTTTTTCAATACATTACAAAATTAAATTTTACGTTAATATTTACCTTCCTATTGTGAAATTACTACTTTAAAAAAATTTTAATTAAAACAATTAGTCTAGTGCCTAACAATAAAATTGTCTAAGAATTTAGACACTATACGAATTTCAACTCATTAGTTATTAGACCATTAGTTAATTTATTGGTTCTTTTATTGATTTTGTTTTATTCTTAACGATAGGTTTATCCTGGTGAAAAATTAAGTATTCGAAGAGACGTTTGGGAAATAGCATTGGCTAAAAATGAATCTAAACTTGTACGTAACCTAATGGAAGTCATATGGCCAGACAGAATTCATTTAAAATATTTTGATAAAAATGATAAAAGAATTAAGAAAAACAGGATCCCGGGAACTAATAGAACTTCTATGAAATCTGCTGAAATTCAAATTCTATATGGTAACATATTTTTTAAAAGAAAATTTACATAATGCTTTACTCAAGTATAGAAATATTTATTCTTACGTAGGTAGAAATTATTGTCAATTTAACAATCCTTTTTGTCTACAGAAAGTAAAACAGGGTTGCCAGAAGAATCAATTTTTTTAATTTCCCTGTCATTAAAAAAATTTTCCCTGACAGAAAAACGTTAGTATAGATATACAGTGTTTTTATTTTAATTAATCTAAATTGTCCTATATTTTAAATTGAATTAATTTAAGCATTTGTTGATTAAATTTTAATTTACTCTTAATTCAATAAATATCAAAATTTGAGAGTATCTAAATTTAAAATAAATAAATTTAATTTATCCAAATTTTAGTTGATTTCAATTTCATTTTATTCAAATTTTAATCGATTAAAGTAGCAAATTCAATGGATTCAAATTTCAATAAATCTTAATTTTAATTAATCAATACAATTATTTCTTAAAATTTAAATTGACTCTAAAATTAATTCATTCAAATTATAAACGATCTAAATTTTTATTGTCTTTAATTTTAATTAACCTCAACTTCTACTTCTGATCAACCTGAAATTTATTTGAATTAAATTTAACTTTATTTAAATTTTAATCGATTTAAATTCCAATTCTAATGTCAATCAATCCTAATTCTTATTGGTCTAATTTTTTATTGATGAAAATTTAAATTTGAATCCTTTCAATTTCAATATTTAATTCATCAAAATTTTAAACTATATACATACACTACCAACAGTAATCGTACTGGTCTTTTCTCATAATTGCAAATCATCGTTTATTTTATAAAATATATTTGTTATAATTTTTTCTGTTTAATTTGTTAATACCTTTTTTTTTTTTTTTTTATTTGCCTGGTTCATCAAACGTCTCTCAGATAAAGTTAGAAAGTCAAATTTTTTACACAGTTCGATATAATTTGAACCACGCTGCGGATAAATTTGAGTTTTTCGAAATGTCAAGTACTTCAAAAACCGTTTTTGAATTTTTTCTAAAGAGTTAATGTATTTATCAAAGGTAGGATTCCAAATTATTTGGGCGTAGTTAAATAACGAAAGAACAAACGCATTGTATAAAATAGTGAACGATTGTTGATTTTTGAAGCACTTGAAACTTCGTATCAAACATCCCAGGGTTTTCGTTGCTTTTAGTTCGGTTTTTTGAATATGTAAATTGAAAGTCAGTTTAGACTCAAAAACAACGCCTAGATCAATAATTGTATCTTTCCTTGATAATATTTTATTGTGTAAGGAATAATCGTAACTGATGGTGAATCCTTTTCTCGCAAACGTGACAACATAGCATTTTTTGAAATTTACTTTTAGTTTATTTAATTCACACCATTCTTCA